GAGAGAGAGAGAGAGAGAGAGAGAGAGAGAGAGAGATTGGTTTATAGAAAACGATCGGTGATCAAAGTTATCAGTTACTACCAATAATACCGTATTATTAGGCTTACGGTATCACTGCTATTTTATAACTATTATTATTATCCTTATCATTATCATCATTATCAGTATCATCCTCATCCTCATCATCATCATCAACATCATCATCATCACCATCATCACCATCATCATCATCATCATCATCATCATCATCATTATCATCATCATCATTATCATTATCATCGTCGTCGTCATCATCATCATCATTATCACCATCATAATTATTATTCTTCTTCTTATTATTATCATTATTATTAATTCTATTATTAGTATTAGCATTATTATTAATTATATTATTTTATTATTATTCGAATTCTTGTCGCAATAATGACACGGCTTTTAAAGCCAATGTGATAGAGCTTATATGCGATGACAAGGTAAATGAAAAAGAGGGAGAGAAATAGAGGAAGGTAGAGAGAAAGAAAATGTGTGCCAGAGAAAGAGAGAGAGAGAGAGAGAGAGAACGAGAGAAAAGGAGAGCGAAGTGCCGGGAGGCCGAAGACCTTTCGTGCGATAAAGATGCACCGGCATCTTTAAACCGGACGTTATAAAACGTTGGCACCGTAAAGCTCGCATCCATATGTAAATAATTGTACAAAAGATAAAAAAAAAATGAGAGGAGAAGACGGAGAGACTCGAAACATGCGAAACATTACACGTACATGATCTTGTATATTATACTTAATTACCACATTTAATTCTCTAATAGCGGTATATCTACACACAGAACTAAAAGCGAACCCAGGCTGCAACCGCTTAACGCCGCGTTTCCAGTTAAACGATTGTACGATAATATGAAATTAGTCGTTGATGAAAAATTGGAGTAAGTCCCAAAAATTAGAGGAACGGATGTGCAAACACACGTACACATACATAGATCAAGCGAGCGAGAGAAAGATAGATAGAGAGAGAGAGAGAGAGAGAGAGAGAGAGAGAGTATGCACACACACACACACACGTACACGCACACAAAGAGGCGCGCATTCGCGGAAATACGGCATTAAGATTGGTACGAGCAATGCGACACGAGGATATAACTAACGAAAATTACTGTACACTATCGACGCCTGAGCAAGAAAAAAAAATGACGGTGAATGCATGTGCTCGTATGAGTGAAAGGGACAAAAATAATCCGCGATATTACGAATCAAACTTGTATTTACCAGATTAAATTTTAATCTTCGATTAAATTCTAGTCCGCAATTTAAACGAACGATGGCTACGGCAAGTAAAAGAGGTAAAAGAGAATGATAGAGACAGGAGGTTTGGTGGATGAAGGCTGGGAACACTGCGGGGGGGGGGGGGAGGAAAGGGGGATGGAGAAAAGGAGAACGCGAATGAATAAATAAATGAGGAAAACACGGAATGAATGGATAAAATGAAGATGATGTACGATCGAGATAGCCAACCAGTGAAAAAAAAACATTTAAACGAAAAGGGCATTGCTAATCGAGAGACCAGTGATCCGACATTTTCTCGTTAACGATCCGAAACTTTTATATTTTGTCGTAAATCTATAATCAGGTGAATAGTGTTTGAATTGTATACAATGCTATTTTATCATCATCATTATCATCTTTAACATTAATTGTCGCTACTGTCATCCTTATTCATTTTTCGTATTATTATTATATTATTACTATTACTATTATTATTATTACTGTTGTTATTATTATCATTATTATTATTGTTATGATTATTATTGCTATTACTACCACTATTGTCATTATCATTATTACTATTATGACTATTATTATTATTATCATCATCATCATCATCATCATCATCATCATCATCATCGTCGTCGAATCATCATTATCATCATCACCACCATCACTATTACCATCATCATCATCATCATCATCATCATCATCATCATCATCATTATTAATATTATTATTATCATTATCATTATCATCATCATCATCATCATCATCATCATCATCATCATCATCATCATCATCATAATCATCATTATTATTATTATTATTATTATTATTATTACCATTACCATTATTACAAGCATTATTATTTCAATTATTATTATTATTACTGCTGTCATAATTATTATTAACTTTATCGTGATTACTCTTGCTCGTAACTTAATGACATTGACCAGTCGCATGGGGCTGCCCAACGAACGAAATCGAGATAACAAACAATGACAAAATGATACTACCAAATCAATAAACTATAAGATTGTGTAAAGAAACGAATGGAAAGGGGATTGAAAACGCGTATATATAAGTGTATATTGATTCAGCCCAATGAGACCGTCCAATTGTCAATCTCGTTGGGTTACGAGGCGATTCTCTGCTACCGCCGATCGTCTCCGATCGCGCAGCTGATTAAACAATTTGTAAACAGATCTTCCGAGAACGATCGGCCGTACAACCCCCTTTACTTTCTCACCTCCTTCCCCACCACGTCGCCCACCCCAGACGCGTCCACCGTCCCCAAGCCGCTCTCACACACACTCTCCCGACAGCTACATCATTCTCTTTTCACAATTTCTTTTTCTCTTTTCTCTTGTTTCTTCGAACGAGACGCGATGCATATAGGTTCTTCTGTAGATACCGAATAGACTTTAGATAACAGATAGCTTTAATTATTTAAGCGGTAAACGGTAACTTTCTAGGCGAACACCCGACCGAGGGTGAGGAATTTGTATTATAGAAAAAGAGGTCCGTGTGGAGAAACGAGCAATGGTCGTACAAGGACCATCGGAAGGAGGGCAAATCATATCGTAAACCTAATAATGAATATTTTACAGAAGTGACGACAAAATAAGGGGAAAAGTGAATAATATGGGAAGAAAAAATGATGAGAAAAATCGTAAGGCTAACTGTAGATAGACGTTCGGAAACATTTAAAGAAATAGGAAATATACAAAACTGAAATAAAGGCTATCGAGGCTCATGTACAACGCGCACTATGCGCCGTGTGAAATGATCAAAAAGAATAAGAAATTTGGATGAAAAAGAGAACAAAGAACGCGAGAGGAGCGAGATATTAAATGCTGAGAAAGGACATTGTCATTCAGTAGTGAAAATAATTGTATTTAAGAAAAAAAGAAAAAAATGGAAACAAGAAGGTTTATCTAACGTAATAGTTTATTGATTTGTATTTCATTTCAGATTGTATTATAGCTTTAAAGATTATCCTGTACATTGCATACACATACACACATACACACTAACACACGAGCACTATTGTTTTAAATTGTACGATTATGATTATTATACGAAGATAAAAAAGAAAATAAATAAGGTATACAAAGTATCGAAGATATATGGGAAATTTTATTCCGAATCTCGGTCAACGGGAATCATCGATGACTCCTTCATGACGAATTTCTAAAAATCTATGAATCTTTAGAAACATCAAGCATACACGCATGCATGCATACACGCGTGTATACGGATATGTATATATATGTATCCACACGCGCGTGCGCCCGCATCCCGTATGTACATCTACGCGAAAGATTCTTACCGCGTAACAAGATATTTTTCATTTTTCAATGTTTCAATAGAAAATAACAAATTTTACGATCATTTTAAGAATTGCTTCATTTTTAATAACAAACGTTATTTTTTAAAGGAATTACGAATAATTGAAAATCCAGTGATACATGAGAAAGCAGTACTCGATGTCTCCGACACTATGACTTACCGATGTACAGAGTAATTAATTCTCATTTGCTAGAGAAACCTGATAAACAGTCTACATCGATCTAAATATCGCGATAGCGTTAGACACGCAATAATACCATTTAAACACAATAAGAATGGAAAATCACTTTATTGTATATACGTACGTGATAATATTATTCATATCAGTGTCTCCTTTCAAAAATTTCTAAATTAAAAGGACTGTATTGCAAATTGTATAGCGATTATTCCATTGATCCCACCTTCTTTTAAACTTCATTTTTAATACTTTAATATTTTATAATATATATTATAATGACATTTTTTAAATATAGTCGTAGATATCCTTTTATAAATTAAAATAATTCAAGCTTATCGTCTTCTGTCTTAACACATGCCAATAACAAAGAAAGTAAATGGTCCGCGACGTAATTATCGTTCGTTTTATCATATTTCATATTCTATTGCTCTTCACGAAAATATTTCAAAAGTAAATCCCAAATCCCCCGACCTTCTTTAACTGCATTTTGATACATTCTATTCCATCTTATAATTATGATAAACTAATAAAAAAGAACATCAACAATGTTATTTACCATTGGTAGGTAATACCATAGCCTTACCTCCTATTGATATTTCTTCAGATAATTAATATCAAATAATGGGATAATTCATCTTCCCACATATCTTAATAGAAGCATATATCTCACGTACTATTTCGCTAACTTTTACAACATAATACCCGATATCAAATTATAACATTTATTGTAAAATCTTTCTAATGCTGTTGTTAGAAAATATATTTTATTTTTCGTTTTCGAAAGGAACAGAATCACAGTCCATTCGTCATATCTTTAACCAACTGAGAAAAATTAGTTCTTAATTTATTAACCTTTACGAAATTTCAAGAAATATTTCAGTACTTCGTAAAAACTGACATAAATACTTACTGTACTTATGGTCTTCCATAATACGATCCAGCATTACGTTAAACATAAAAGATAGATAAAGTAATCTAATTTAATTTTATTGGTAAAAGCAACTAAAAACAAAATATTAATACACGGCTAGACTGACTACAGATTTTTTTACAGTAATAAAAACTAGTTTTATTATTCTATCAACGCTTCTAATAGCAAAAATGTAAATTTCAAATTGCTTCGGGCATCGAAATTTACGAAAAAATAACAATGTACAAGTAACAAATAACAGTTTTCAAAATTGGAAACCGATTCTTATTGTTATCTACAATTGTTTAACCTTCAATATTTTGAAGCTTCACTTAGTTATAATTCATATTTCATTTATATACTATCAACTAAATAGGTAAGTTTTTGATATAATTTATAATAGTATACTAAATAATACCATTAGTGAATGGTAATCGTTTGTTGGCACTTTCATTAAATAGCTATCGCCAATACCAGATTAGGTTCTATTTAGAAAAATGTTTGTGATTGATTATCTCTTTCAAATCCACAAACAATTGATAAAAAATTACTACCAAATTTTTAAATAATAAAGAAGGAATAAATTCAGATACCTTGTCAATTTTACATTATGCGCTTGAATTATAAACCTTTCCCTTTCTAATCGCAATCTAATAGTAATCGCAAAATATAGCTTTGTATTTTAATGTATTAGAAATAAAAGATTCTCAAAAGAAAAATTGTATAGAAAAATACAACAGAATTTTTCCACTAACTGTTAAAAAGAGCATCAAAATAATGAGATCGCCAATTTCAAGCAAACATTTTTTTGACTTTAGCAGAAAAACAAATCTATTAAATACTAAAAGTTTAACAAGTTAAAGCAACTATTTGTTGTCTTGTAAATTGCGAAATGTGTCGGTCTTGGTATATAAATGTATTTGTAATTAATGAATCTCTCTTAATAATTTCAATATACATCTTATAAGAAAAATTGTATTATTATAATAACATACAGCAGTGTCTGCTTTAGCGTCCGTTGCTATCCCCACTGATTCTTGAAAATCAAACCTTGGAATAAACTTCAAACGTGCCGACTGAAATAAACTTTCAAACAAACATCGATCTTACTATCGATTGTTTCGGGTATTCGCGTTCGTCCCTTCTCCATCGTTCAATTGTATTCGGGGAAAACATGTTCCAGCATGAGTCTCTGGGATTCCCTTCCGACTACGAACGCTAAAGTCACCACTATTGTATATCTAATGATACTGGAATTCAAATTTAGGCAAATGTAAAAATAATAAATTGTAAATCTCATATTAAATTGCCACTGGCCGTTCTGTTCAAAAAGTATCCTTCAAATTGACTAATAATAAATTTTTGTCATTTTTTTGAAATTATCTAAAAAACATATTTCTTTATTTATATTTTACATTTGATAAAAGTTTACTTTAGTGACTTTGTCCTGAATTAACGTATGCGTTTACGGCCTTTTTAAGAAACACTGCAAATTTAGTATTGGCAACGAATATAGGACGAAAGGACTTGGATAAGCCTTTCATTTTTTGCTACAAAAAACAAAATTTTAAAAAACTGTAATATAAACGAATCGAACCAGATGATTTTGAAGTATGTTACAGAGAATTGAATTCGGAATCATTTTTATTTGAACAATAATTGGCGCTCGACTTAAGTTTTAGAGATATTTGTAAAAATTATCAATGCTGCTACATTCAACTCTACCTCTACGATGTGACACTCGGTTGGTCTAGTATGTATAACGGATGGAAAAGAAAAAAAATGATTCAAGGTCAACTTACATGGTCTGCTCCCGCGAAGCGGCTGCAAAACTAATGTGACTCGACTTGAACTAAATTGATGTCACATAATTAAATTCGGTTGAAATAAATTAGTATTCCGACCTGCGTGAGGCTTGCAATACAAGCCCTAGAATTATCTTTTTTTTTTTCCAGCTAACCGTTCTATACATCTGCCGCTATGTGTTTATACATGTAAACACTAGACCAGTGACGATCTCTTACAGACACGACGCGTTCATGACAAACGTACAGATAGAGCTAAAGGTAGCAGCACCAAGAAATTTTGCAAATATCTCGGCAAATAAAGCCGAGCAATAGATATTCCTCGAATAGAAGTTGTGCAGAACATTCTGCAGTTTTTCAGCAAAACCACAATATTTTTTCAAGCTCCTTCGATATATTTTTCTTACTGATGTAAAATACAGTATTTCCTGAAGAAAAAAAGAAAAGAAAAAAGAAACGCGATAAAATGAACAGATTTAGTGCAAAGTCACGAAACTAAACTTTTACCTCAAATTTATAAAATAAAAGAAAGAAAAAATTATTATTGACGATCTTATCATTATAAGCCCATTTTGTTATACACGTATGAAGTTATGCAAGTATAAAACCAGTTCTGTACTTGCTATCGGGGTTTCATGCTTTTTCTTCCTCATATTACTCTATAAATACGCAAAAACTTTCGTTCCAATGTCACAACGCAAGGATTTTAATGAAAGCTCATCGAAGCGTACGTATATATCACAAAAAATGATAACATTTTATTGTTGCTCCACTAAATGTGTCAGTAACGACTTTTTTGAAAAGCGGGTAGAAAAAAGCGAGAAAAATCACTAAAGCAAGTGCGACGGAATTTACGAAAAGCAACTACGATATTACTTTTATTGCATCATCCTACGTATAAACACCGAACATTGAATTGCGATTGGATTAAGTTTAGTTGTTCGGTACGGGTATTTTCGTTTTCACTGATCACTTACAATAATGTACTTGCTTCTGTATCTTGCGCGCGCGCGCGTGTGTGTGTGTGTGTGTACGCGCGCAGGTGCGCGTAGCTATGTGAGTGGAGCGTATGCATACCATATATTATAAATATATATGAATGTATACATATTTGTGTACGTGAGTTAGCTTTTCTCTTGATATATTATAAATGTAAAATACTGACATGCATGTACTTCCAGAATCGTGACTTAAATCGTACGCATTACTTTCCTTTACGGAACCTCGCGAGCAAAATCCAAGTGCATATAGTCGATTGGCTGATAAGAAAGAAATATTCTTTGTCTTTTTTCTTTTTATGCGAGTTTTAAATTTTAGTATATGCGTGCGATCTCGGTATGTTCCGATTTTAAAAAATCGTATTGTACAAGAATGTTACATTGAAATCTGTCGGTTGAGAGAAAAGCGTTTGTTCGAATAAAAAGATTGGTCTTGCCTTCTAAAAGGATTTTCATCATTTTTATAATTTCATCGACATTTTGAATTAGATACAGTAATTCCCGAAAGAACAGAACTTCCAGTACTGAGAGATTACCGTAAAATTTTATCATCAATGAATCGAAGAATGGCAAACAGCGATGCACGAACGACAGCCAAACACACAGGTAATACAGCAAAAATATTTTATGTGACTGAATGAGAACTTCCTTTTTATTGTTCATCAAAATAATTTAGTACCACATCGTGTCAAACGGTCTGGTTCTCTCTGACGACAAAAAAAGGCATGAGGAAAAAGGAGGCGCTTACCTAAACGAGGGAGAAAAGATGGTAAGAAAAATGTAATAGCGGACAACAGAGTGTATCGTTTGAAAAAATCGGTCTTAATAGATTAAGCATTGTTACACAAAGTTTCGACGAATGCCTGCGTAAGTATATGTGTCAATGTGTGTAACGATCGATCGTACACTCGTGGTCTGATTCTATTTTTCTCTTTTCTTTTCTTCTCTTGTTTCTTGTCTATGTTACGTCTGCGCTACCACTAATAGTAGTTTAGGGCTAAATATACAACTAGTACCCCTCGTATCTCGGGACCCACGCAACGAATTATGCGTCTCAAGTATTTCCACACGAATATACGCTTGCACATATTTTCAGGAATTTTTTACAAATCGCACGCTCAAATCGACGATCCTTTGCCTCTAGTATTATTGTTAATAATGCACGTCATACATTGCCGAAAGCTTATGTTCCATTTATAGATATAATATATTATCCGTATAGGAAAATTAGATGGTGTTCGCCTTCGGCCGGTCCTATTGGATGTTCGTGCGATCAACTTTTCGTCAGGGCAAAACAATTCGGAATAGTCCTGTCGCATGAACATTACGCACATTACGCATGCAATGTGAATTGAACGTTTCGATCCATGGTTTACTTTGAAGTCTGCGCTTGTTTGTCATGCTCGTTTGCACATTACACAACAAATGATGACGTCTCGTACATTTTTCCTTCGAAACGTGTATAAGCACGCCCGCGCGTATCTCTGTGTGTCATACGTATCGGTGTTATTTTCCAATGTCACATTGTCAAGAACGATCAAGGAGAGATCAGCATAGCAAACGAGAATAAATGACTATGATTCTTCTTATATTTCAAAGACGCAATATAGTCTAAATTCTCGTCAGCGTTAGTAGATCGAGGAAGACGACGCGTTTGAGCGAGCCAAGTATACCATAATTATATTACGCAGCAGAATAATGTTTGAGAAGAAACAATTTACCAATCGGTTCAACGAAGTAACATCATTTAAGTCGACTCGAGATTCCTAAATTTCTTATTTTTAGCGTCAACGAACTTATGGCAATGTCTTCCTCACAAAAGAATGTCAATTTCGAATGACTCTCCTCAAATCATGCAATGCGTTACCGTAAGACATATATGTAGTATTAATAATTACTAATCATACTTTATTATAAATTATTTAAAGACCTCTTAATCATACATGTTTATGTGTGTATAATAATATTAATATTAATAATAGTAGTATGTACGATATTTTTTTTTTGCTTTTTTTTTTTGTAGCAGCCTACTCTTTCGGCCGTTTCCATCGAATTCGATGCGCATCGTTTGCTTTTTCTCCAAAACCTTTCTTCTTCGACAAAGGTTCAACGAGATGTCGATGTTTTGGTGACTAGCGGCACTCCCAGATCTTCACCGTTTGGTCAACGCTACCGGTCACCACATACGGATGGCTTTTATGAAAATCTATAAAGGTATATTCATATTAGCAAACAAGGTATCTTTATAAAGAATTCTGTATAGCAAAAAATGGCAGAAAAATAGTAAAATTCGGTTTACATACAAGTTTGTTTTATGCTATGTAGTATAACAGCGTCCAACTATTCATACTTTATACATAATAACAGTTCATTATACGTGATTATAATTTCGCATACTTGACTGTATAATTATGCTTATACGCTTAACCACTTAATGATGTGTCAAACTATTGCTTAAATTTTCATTAATTATGGAAGAATTAAACAATTTCTTAATTATATCTCTGCATGATCTTTTTTTTAAATACCCTCGAATTTTTTGGGAATCGATAAGCTTATTACCTAACCTTAAGTCTTGCTTTAAGTTAAAAATTCACCTCGCATAAGCCGAATGAACAAAAAGATAATAGAACTTAAGCAGATACATTTGCGCAAGATTTAAAGATACACTAAAAGATTTATACGATTTAACGATTTCTCAAGAAATAAACACGATAATTTGATATGTTAGTCGCTGAAAATTAAAAGAACAAAAACATTCGAAGCTTGAATAATGGCAGTGCAAGAATTTATTACAAAGTAACTTTCAAGATTTCTTATTGGATTGGTAGTTGTTGATGTATAAGCTCTTTTGAGCCCCGCGTAGAGAATCGAAGAAAAGCAAAAAAAAAAGAAAAAAAAAAAAGAGAGGAAAAGAAAGAGAAAAAAAGCACATAATCAATGTCCCCATTGTTTAATCTATAAACACAATTCATAACTGAATTGGAAATTATTATTTAAAGGATCTGCAATAATATATAAATTATAGAGTTTAAGCTTTCAATCATCTTTCTGATACAATTTGTAACCAAATGATAGAAATAAGAATAATATAAGAACATGTTTTCTAAATAATCGTCAAGCAATATGAAACAACATATCGCCGATCAATTGATTAAATAATAAATGACAATAACTTGCTCAGTTATGAAACTATAATATTCAATCATATATTGGATAAAAATGATTCGATTCGTTATTTGATCATTTAATCTTCTTAACCATTAGCTGAGGTATAGCTTGCATGACTAATTAAGCCTTCGAACCTGTTTAAATTTCCAAGTAAACCCATTTTGTAAAGCAACGAAGACCATTGTAATTGTTACTCACCAACGGAGGTGCAAAAGTGAACATGCGCTTCGAGGGTTTTCATTGCCCGTTTGTTACACGTGTCCCAGACTCGCAGGGTCTTATCGTCAGATGCACTGACGATATACTTGCCACCGGGATGGAAGACGATGCCGCGAACCCAGTTGTCGTGTCCTAAGAGGGTAAAGAGGCAAACGCCAACACCGACGTCCCATATACGGATTACCTTATCCCGCGAACCAGATGCCAGAAAAGGTCCTTCATGGGCACCCTTGTTGTCTGCTCCTGCCGCAGCATTGATTGGTGCCCTTGCACTGTCCGGTGCCCACGCGATACATTCTACCACGTGCTCATGGCCCCTCAGTTCAACCTGAAAACAGGAACGTTTTAGTATGCTGTTTGCTTATTAGGAATATACATCTATAATGATGAAAATAGCCATATTGAAGAAAACAACTGTTTGCAATTAAAATTATTATCTATCGTTAAAAATATGCAATAAATTACATTTAACATAACATATTTTAGCAAGCATAACGGAAACGTCCACTGTATTTTAATATCCGTCTATGGTGGTTTTTTATTTTATTCTTGAACAGTTTGAAGATATGTAACGAAAATATTTACACGTAAATAAATTCAATGCTGTGCCATTAAATCTAGAATATTTAGTAAGATCACATGAATGATTCATATGAATAAGAATATAAAACTGATATCCATCAAAGATTTCATACCCGCTAGTTCAAATTTTTATCCTAGTAATCAAACTCGTATATAGGTGTAGTAAATAATTATTCTAATAATCGGAATAATGTGACTTCTAATACTTAAAAAGGATGTATTGTACTACTACGCCACCGCATATATGCTTATCTTGCGATATATTTCCTTATTTATATTATTCGAAGATAAATTGTAAGAATTTAAGAAAAATATTAATTGAATATTAATATAGTATAATTAAAAATATTAATATAATAAAATGATCAATATTAAATTTTACATATTTCTCGCTACGGCGAAAAAAATATTTCGAATTGAAAAATAAGTATGAATAACTCATTTCTTAAAGTAGTTTATACACACAGCTGATAATCCGTATATTTATACTTTAAAGCAGAAGAATAATTTAAAATGACTATAGTGAAAAAACACAAGATGTAGATTTTATATTTACTTAGAATTATGGTTTCCTTATTTTAAAGTATGAAACGCGTGATAAATTTTGAAGCATTCGGCCGATCGGCTAATTAACACATCCATTACCCATAAGTTTTGCTCGAAATGTTGTAGAAATTTAATTACTTTGCGACATATTCTGCGTTAATGAACACGAAACAAAATACGTATTGCCTGAAGATAACGTTAACTATGAAATACAAACTGCATCGTTGAAAGTGACTGTTGCTAGATTACTTCATATAATCATAAAATTTGTAACTTTATCGTTAAATTACAAACATACCTTCGTTTCCTTTGTTGCCACATGCCAGACTCGTACCGTTTGATCGTTCGAGCAACTAGCAATTAATTCTCCACAGGGGCTGACTCTGGCCATTCGCACCCATTCTCTATGACCCGTCAACGTTTTAATACAATATCCTGTCGCCACTTCCCATATTTTGAGGGTCTTATCCCTAGAGGCGCTAACTACGAGATCCCCTTGTGGCACAAATGCGACAGAGGTGACACTGTGATCGTGTCCGTGCATGGTTTTCACACAGGCGAATGACTCATGAAAGTCCCACAGTTTAATAGACATGTCTGCACTGCATGAGACTAACAGTTTCCCAGAGACATCGAATGAAACATCGTGTACCGTATCAGTATGCCCCCTTAATGTTCTTTCGAATTCGCCGCTTTCGAAGTCCCACACCTTGTTGAATTTAACATAAATGAGAAAATCAGCTTTGGTAGAAACTAGCGTGAGTAACTTACAGAATAATAAATGAACAAAAGATTGAAAACAATTGATAGCTAATTCGAAACGAGTGTACGAAGTTAAATAATATAAATATCATTTCTTAATTTATTTCTTGTATTTCTTAATAATCATTCTATTTTACTAATAGCAGATGATTTCGTTGTGAAAACAGAGCAGAGGCAAAATATTCGTCATTTAATTCTAATGACATTTATTTTAATGTATTTAATCGCTGTAATACATAATAATTGATATTTGCCTGATTAGTAAATTTTAAACACCTCGAAAATGAATGAGACATATTTCCATAAAAGAAAAGAAAAGAAATTAATCGCAACAGATGATGGAAGTAGCATATAGTAGCATACCACGAAAATTTTTTGAACATATAAATTAAACACGAATGATTCTTAAAATACTATATCGATAATGTATGTAATCATGAGAAAAAGTAGGAAAAGTGAGAACGCGTCTTCTTAACAGCTCAAATTTTTTAAAGAAATTAAACTATACATGGTGTATGAAAATTAAATTCTCATGGTCATTAAAACATAATTCCATATCTTCAGATCAGTGAAATTCTGTTTAAAAAAAGTAACCGCAAAATTGTCCTTAAGTATGATTTTCAAGGTCATTTCTGTTCCCTCATTTAACTTAATACTTAACGTATTGTATTTTATTCATCATAAAATTCATCATTTATTCAACTTATTACACGGCAACGTATCGAACGATCGCTAGAATAATATTAGAAGTAAAAGCAAATAATAAACTTTCAACGCATTTATTAATATTAACCGAACAGTATAATTTCCATTATTACTTGTGACCTCTTCCTAGCGTGATGGTAATTTGTGGATTCTATTTCTATAAAAGGACTCACTTTTAGAGGAGAAAAATTCGAAGAGTGTTTAGTTGACACATGCTGCATTTTGGAATTGTTTTCCCTTCAAAAAATTTTGTAGGCAAAGAAACAGATTCTAATCGGATGGTACTAGGTCTGAGGAGTATGCTTGATGTGACGATATATTCCAGTCTGGCTCTGCGATTTTCTCTGCTGAGTGGTGAAATCAGCATGTGGCCTAGCATTGTCTGGTTAGGTTTATCAGTGCTGATCCCTTTTTCTCGGATGCTTCGTTCAAATCATTCATTTGACGACAATATATTATCGAACCGAGCATTTCGTTAGGTTTGAGAAGTATTGGTTTGTATTATTGGTCCTTTAACGTCTCATCACAGGAACACGCACGCACGCACGCACGCACGCACGGAGAGAGAATTCTCTTATTAGAAGGAGCAGATTGTCCGGCTCAGAATATGTTCATTTTCTCATAACGTTCTCATATGTTATCACTCTTCATCGCTAGTTATCATCCGGTATAAAAACCGAACAAGCAGATTTGCAAATTTTTCTTTCATTTAATTCACAGGACATCCATCTGGGACACTTATACACCAATCCAAGATTCGAAATATGGTCCGAAATGGGTCTTGCCGTGTATAATGGCCCTACCAATATCGTCATCGAGCTGAGATGGTCTCTTAGAAGTAGTGGCTTGTCAAGTGAGGCTGAAATCCACTAGCTTCAAACTTTTCGAACCATCTCTGTTATATATTCTGTCGGTAACCTTCCTGTTCCTTCACCAAAAACGTTCACCAAATTTCTATACCCTTTCGTTGCAGCTTGTTGCAATTCATGAAGAATGCAATGTCTAAATGAGCTTTATCAAGATGTTTAAACTTTATGTTAAACTTTTTATATTTACACGCACGAATTTCACTGAAAGTTGACATAATAAAACTAATTTTTCAATAAATAATGTTAAAAATCATATGTAGGAATAAAATATTAAGAAGAGGCAGCCACAGATGTTTCAAACGAACACGTTCATTCTTGTTGAAACTTAGGATGACATTACCGGTCAGAAATTTAAGGTAGACCTGATATTTTTTCAGTACTATAAGAGGATTATTCGACACATGTATTGAGTCTGCAGCGAATTCGATGTTTCGTCTAAATTTTACTTATTACACGTATCATACTTGAATCACACTATAATGACCATGACAATTGATTTTCATCAACCTGTATATTTAACACTGATATAAATAAACATATTTACAAACGAAATAAGCGAATTATTTTTGCATAAAGATTAGGTTTAACATTAATATTGAAAAATTATAATATCTTAGTTTATTTTTCGTGCTATTTATGTTATTCTTCCTACATATATATGCGTGTATGTGTATGAATGTAGCATATTTACATCTAAATATTAATTATACGTGAAACTTCAGTGTTTCACTGAATTATCGTAACAATCTAAACAAAAAATGATTCATACTGATTTTATATAACATCTAACTATTACATATAATACTATTAATTCATCTATTATATAGTAATTATATCATAATTACTATAAGAAAACCTATTTTGTGAGTTTTAATCATTTTGATATATTTACAAAGTAGATTGCAATAGAATTGCATATACAGAACATGTTTATAGCATAAATGTCCTACATTTTGCAATTTCGTGATAGTGAATTCAAGTTCCATCTAACAATTGATAATTTATGTTTACATTGAAAGAACAGTTCAATCGTGTGGTTAATATCGTAACTATCGTAACTTTCGTAACACTCGTTTCAAACTAACTGTTATACGATTTTAAGTACACGACTTCCGAAGCCAACTTCGAAACTAATAATTCTACCTTGATAGTGGCATCTTCGCTGGCAGAAACTATAAAACTAAAAACCGGATGGAAAATAACTCTGTTGACAGGACATCTGTGTCCATTGAGAGTATACTTTTCGGGTGGCCTTGGTATCCACTCAGGTGGTGATCGTTTGCTACGTGTCGGTGCTCCTTCGATGAATTCCTTCTCTACCTCAGAGAGTTTGGATTCTAATTCCATTACCTATAATATACAAACAAAGAGACAAAGTGATTTCGCATCTACACATTTTGATCTCCTTACTGTTATCTTTTACATTGTTTATGGCGATTACTTGAAATATTGTGCATTATTATACGCAAATAGTATCAAACAGTGGCCAATAATAAATCTGACATTATGGTAAAATTAATAGAAAGTACCGCGACGTAAACAAAAATGTTTGATATTAACAATAATAATAATCATATCGAAATTGATATTTTAATACCTATGTTAGAGAATTCTTATACAAAACTTGTCCGTTATATGTGCGATTGCTATTAAGTGTGTTGCCTGTTAATACTAACAGGAGGAAACTCGCTATTTCGAAAAAATGATCAACAAAACTAACCAATAACTTTGACAATTGCAAAAATTTCAAATCTTCTCACCTTCTTTTGCAAGCGTATGACCGAGGTCCATTTCTTCTCCAGCAAACCTACATACTTTCTTTCTAACTCCCCAGGTATATCGGTATCCTTCTTGAACCCCTCAAGCGCATTTCGATAATCATTGGTGCTGAGGTATTCTGCAATCGCCTTATTTCTGAAAGAATAAATGAATTTATAGCATGCCACCACCGTCTAGACGTAGCTAACGACGATCTTTGATATTATTTCTGACCTTGTAATCAAAACCAGTCTTAAGTACTAAGCATAATTCAATAAGCGATGCAATATATGACGGCATTTTTCTGAATAGTGATTATTATCGATGTAAAGCAATCGGTCTTACGTTATCTCGTCATTCTTGCGTTGCTAGTTATACTAAATATTTTCTATCTGAGATAAAGAGGCAACAATAACGAGTATAATTAAAAACAATTATGTAAACTCTAAACCTGAACAAAACGCTTTTAGCAATATCAAATATGTTTTTCTTTTATCTAAATTTAAAATAAATAAGATAAATGTAAACAAATTGCAAGATTACTTTTTACTGGCCAATTATTCTAATTTATGGATAAATGAAACAAATCAGAAGTCCCTTGTAACGAGTCTTTTTCTCAATCTTGCGTAATTCTTACCCCCTGTTTCTAAATCTATCATTTGCTTACTTAAAATTTCAAATATAATCAATTACAATTTAGAATTTGAAATTTCGACATTTAAAGGGCAAAAAAGTAAACTGGTTAGGAAATTGCGATACAGCTTGAAATAGTAATGAAAATGATTTGAAATATATCTCAATGATCTCTACACTTAAAAAATTTAAATACTCTTCGTGTATTAGGAAACATGTACTAATAGACAATGGTTAAGTGAACGTAATCTAATCAATGCAGATTTAATCTTATCATGCCAATATACTATGTAAACAACTATATAATCCGAAACGATTTTTCAGCCACTTTTGCTTTTTGGTATAAATCATCATATTTGTTACATTATTAATCCGCAATATCGTCGCCGTTGCGCATCTCATTGAAACGATAGAACATGGAAGTTTATATTTACGAGAGACAAAAATACTCGAACATTTACCGTTAATTTTATTTTATAAATAACAGGGGAAAGGTAAAAGAATACGGAGCACCTTGCTATTTTCCGGAAAAACCTATATATAAAAAATATAAAAGTCGCATCAGCAAATGATTAAAATGGTAGTCCACAGATCAAAGATAATGTTAGAATATTATAGCAATGGTTATGTAGCAAGAAAATTCAATCACCTGAAAAATAAAGTATTACATGGTAAAGTAGTACATGGATCAGAACTGAGAGGAAAGAAGGAAGATGTAAAAATAGTAGATTTCTTAATATATATTTTTCTTCGTAATTATAGTAATTACATGAAAATTTCAAAAGCATCCGAATAAAAAATATACTTAAAAAATGGGAAAACTGAAGAGAAGAAAAGAAATAAAAAAATAAAAAACAATAAAAAAATTAATTTCCGGAATTTTTAAAAAAGAAATTCTAATTTTTGAATAAAAGTAAAAAATATAAATTTGATAAGTAGTGAAAGTCTTTGAAAAATTTTGGCAATAGTCACAAATAAAAATATCACTGTTACATCAAGTGCATAAGAAAGAAACAGTGCAATAAGTGTGATTGCAATATGGTAATAAGTGTGATTGTAACCCGGTCGATAATACCATACCATGTCACAAGCCATTTTCTTTGCTAATGTGAAAATTTCCACACGGGAGTGATATTGCTAAATAACTAAACAGATTATTTTGAGGTTCAAACTTATGACTAATTGGACGATTCAAAAATGACGAAATTACACCGTTGCAATACCTGTACATTGAAAAATCAGTTACGTACGAGTGTATGTGATGACTGACGTTATCGATTTTACCACAGACGGCTATCGTGAACAGTTTTGTATACGAATGCCATATATTTCTTTTATGTCACGTGAAATCGTGCGACTCGAAGATGAGTTGGAGCATGTGATGATTGACCATGGGTCTCGAAGTCAATTACTGGAATAGAGAATTCCCACGAAATATAGCGTTCAAACACTTTTGTTAGCCACTGTAAACTTAACCATCTACAAATAATCGAAAACGAATATCCCTCGTTTTTAAGCAATATTAATAATGTCAGCCCTTCAGGTGTAATATTCTTTCCACGTCTCAATTTGACCAACTAAAAACTATTACTTTACACTCCTCGGTACACGGTGACATAATCACATTCACAATGTCAACAAATTTACTTCGTATCGATATATAACTGATTGGGCCTAAGTAGCTGTTCGATGCATCAATGACGTTTGTAATTTGCCGGTTGCAAATTAAATCAGAATAATGTTACGACATTTGACACTTAAAATACAATGGTTGCAAACAGTACTCTCGTAAATGCAACTTTCCAATTACTCCTATCAACTTAACTACGATTTATTAACTATCATTTCATAAACAAGAAATTTATATATTATATATTCTTGGAAATATATCTAGACCAAATATATTTACCAAAAGAAACAACGAAGAAGAAAAAGTTTAATAAAATGTCGTTTAAAAACAATGGAAAAAGATGGAAAAAACGACAAGTTTTCACGAAGTAGTAAGTACTCGTACATTTTACACATACAAAATAAGAAGCAGTTTAGGGCAATAATTTTCTTTTAATGTTTATTCAGATCGACACTCCTTTAATTCGATAATGTATTTTAAGTATTTTTTCTAATCCTCCGTTCAGCGTTTTCCTACTTTCCAAATTCTGTGATTCACTTCATTCGGATGCTCGTGCCATTGTAAAAAATATATTACTTCAGTTTGACAATTTCAATATTTAACGTATTCAGGTATACCTGCTTAATTCAAATTCATTGTTGCTCGATTTATCCGATAATAATATTGAATAATACTGAATAATACTGAATAATACTGTCGGGGAAGTGCATTGCGAATTTACAATAAGAAACGAACCACTTTGATTTAGTGACAACAAAGGACACTATAATTATGATATTTGTGTCAATAACCGATAAATCCATTGACGGATTGAACTTTTTAATTGTATAAGAAAAGTCCATTATACATATCTGAATAGATCCATAAGTGATTCATATTCCCACCTTTTCCCGTATGTTTTGGGTGTTTCAGATTAATATCCTTAATGCTTAACGTACGACGCCTATCAACTTCCATCATCTTTCACATAGCAGCAATTTTTGTGAGGATATAAAAAATGTCGAATAAGAGATACGCGTACCGCGTAATAAGTTATTTCAATACTACTTCAATATTCCATGATATTTTATCGACATATTCATATGTTAGCGCTATTCTAACAATATCAATTACAACGTCGATATACATACGACGCGGCATTTTACAGAAAATTATACCGCGGTACTTGCAATATTTTAGATGTGCTTATTTTACGTAAAGGTAATATTAGTTCTAATTAGTTCTAATTAGTTCTAATTAGTTCTAAGGATCTATTACAATTCTATTGTATTTCATTGGTGTATCGTAATTGGTAAAATCGTGAAATTATATAAAATATCAAGTGTGTTGAATCCTCATAATGTAAATAACGTGTTCGAATCGTTTGTGATACTTAATAAAAATATAATGTAAGCAGCATATCAATTTACGTTTCTAAATAGGTTGACAGGATAATTGATAATATGAAATTTGAAATAATTTGAAATTCCTGCATCTCTCAATCCTTTAAATATATGCATAATTATATAATAAAATGATTTTTCTTTAAATACAGAATGGAATGTAGTAGCGATATGTAGTAGTGTATGACATCTAGCAGATTGTGCTGAGTCATGCTTGCGTATAATATAAACATAACATAATTAATAACATAAATTCATATCTGCTAAGAATTTGTATACAACTACGACTCGTGGCGGTCGGTATGGTTTTCAGTAATGACATTTCGCTATTCGGAACGTAGGCCGATACAATAGAGGGCACAGGTTGAGTACGTGGGAAAGAGATTGAAAGTCGGGCAGAATTATGTTAGGGTGAAAGGCCTGAAGTCGGTCGTTCGTCTCTGTTCACCTGCTTCCACGTGATAGTACGTGGCAGATTATCACCGTGAGTTTTGTTCCGCAGCATTTAAATGCCTGCGAACAAAGCAAACAACCGGAAAGCACGATAGATTCTCTTTCAGCGATCCATAAGACCTTTCACTTCATCGAACGGGACAGCATAATAAATTACTATCGCTACACATGAATCGCTATTATCTTCGTTTCCACTATTGGCATGGCTATTTTGCTAATTATTCCAAAGTTTTAGGATCAGCCGTTGCTTCACACCATCGGAGAAAGTTACACCACAAGCGGAACACGAATTCGTACAATTCGAGTAGTACATTTTGCGATCGTAAAGGATGGAAGAAAAAGCTTGAATGATATACGACGGATTTTTGCTACGCCAAAAGTTCCTATTCGTAGTAACTCTCCACACCGTGTAACTCTCTTTCTCTCTCTCTCCCCATCTCTCTCGTCCGAAGTGATCTTCTTTTATGCGAAGACGATCCCTTACCGCTCTCTTTGGCTCTTTTTTTCCATTTACCTTAACACACCGGTCAACGGGTATCGTGTATACGAGATATAAGGTTTCCCATCGAAGGAACGCGCCATGAGAACTGCACCCGTACGTGTCTTACGCTTAGATTATTCGGCAGAATTTGTTTACATACTCCTTCAAATTGATAATTTCATTTAAATGAAGGTGACAAGTTTAACGATTGTTTAACTTATTTAGAATGCAATTGTTTCCACTTAGAAACATATTGCGTGATCAAGTATAATTAAACGTTGGTGTCAGTTGGTGTCAACGGACATGCGACTTATAATATATAGAGATATTTCAATATATCGTAAAGATAATTATGAATTTTATATTTTTATCCTTTTAGAATAAAAATTGTAAAATATGTGAAATAATTGTAAAACAATGTAATGTTATTGCAAAGCAACTAGGAGAAACAGTATTATTACTTAACAGTTCCTCGGTATATCGTAAGTTTAGTGCAATATAACACGATAACGATTGCAAATTGCAATTGAGGAAACAGATACATTTATTTCAAATCTTCTCTCACAATTATATCGTC